CAACCCCAAACTCACCTTCAAGGTTATTTTCGTTTTAAGTTTTTAATGGTTTCATTTGGTTGATTGTTTTTCATATACCATACACATCAAAACATAGGTATAGGTAAAATTGAGGGTATGCTCAAACGGACTCTAAAGAAAATGAAAATTTGTATGAAGAACAAAAAAATCATGAAATCCCCTCACAAAAATTTTCAGCTCAAAATTCAAAGCATAACTATTTTAAATATTTTTTAAAGTTAAAAAAAAACGAAAATTCCTGATAAATGGAAAACAATGTTTTCTGCGTTTGTTTGTGTTTATGGGATTTTATCATATGGTTTATGTGATACAGAAACGATAATTTATTTAAAAAAATATACTTTTAACCGCAATTCTGGTAAAAATTGAAGGAAAAAAATGTCTATTACCTCGGTTCTGGATCCAACCGGGGCAATAGACCTCGGTTCAAACTAGAACTGAGGTAATAGACTCAATTTTTTATTTTTTATTCGCTTTACTACTTCGAATTTTTTGAACCGATGTAAAAAAATCCTGACTTTTTACCTCGGTTGTAGAACCGCTGTCATAAACCCAAACAATCGAGACAATATCCCTTCAGTGATGGTAGAATTGACTATAATAAAAAAAATTGATTAGTAACTATTTTAAATCAAGAATCAAAGGAATTATTTAAAGTCTATACATGAGAATAATTGGATACATGGGCCTTGTTTCAAAACAATACTAACATGACAATTTGCAATGTCCATTGAATTATTTTAAGTTTACGTATTCTTAGAGTGCTAGCCTATGTATTCTATTGTCACTTAGTTACATCGAATTGGAAGTTATTACAACTTATGATTGTAGGAGAGCATTTATTCCTTTATGGAAAACATAAAAATGAGCTGTTTTGCATATTTGATTTACATATAAGAAATAAGTATGGTTTATAAGCAAGTCATATGTTTACATCACTTAAGTATAGTCGATCTCATTAAAGTCGTCGTTCTTGTGCTACTTATTATCTATAAAACTTGTTTTTCTTATAAAATAATAATAAAAGTTATTCTGATTTTATCTTAAATTTTATTTAATATTTAAATTAATAATTAATTAAAAATATTAAAATAAACTAATTAAAATTACTAAACGCTAAGTTGATGACAATGCTTGTAAACACTAATCTATTGATGAAGAAGGAGTCTCAATAATTTCTTTAACATGTGATGTGACATTAGGTGGTCCAATTGATATTGTTTTATGTGTTGAAGAATACTTCCTACGAACCGCATTTTTGTTTTCGTTCCACCATTTTTCTGCTTGATTTTCGGTGAATCTTCGTCTACTGCATCCAAATAATTGAAAAAAAAACAGTATAAAATTATGTCGAAGAAAAAGGACAAAAACAATATATCTCGGAGACAAAAACAAAAACAAAAATAAAAGCATCAATCATTATTTTCTTTTACAGCAAATACGATCAATTACATTATTTAAATGGTGTCAACATGCTATGTCTATCTTCTAGTAATTTAACTATGTATGCAAATTACTTTTATTAGTTCTGTCTAAGCATAATCAGAGAAAAGAGAAAACAATTGTGAAATCAATTGAATAGTGAATTAGATTAACAATTACTTAAAGGTACAATAGAAAATAATAATAAATATATACTTTTTTTTTAAATCCTAGAACTATGAAGAAATTCTTTTCGAACTGAAGCAGATAAAAAAATCAAAATGAAGTAACTAATAACTTAAATAATTTTCAATTTTGACATGGTATAATAATCAAATGAAAACATTAATTAAAAAATGTAGGAAACATGATCATCCAAGTAATAATCAAATCAAAGTCTTTCATCTTAAATTTATTTTACTCATAAATATATAAAAATATTGTTAAAATATTATATTTTAAGACTAATTTAACTCAAAAAAATTACTAATAAAATATGATTTGGATTTCCTTATATATTTTAAACTAACTTTAGTTGATGAGTAGGATTATATATTAATGAGTAGTATGATAGCAAATGTACTAATCTATTTAACAAATATCAAATTGTTCAATAACGAGTGATATAATAGATCAAACAAATGATAAATCTCAATTTTAAGTCTAACTCAACTTCACAAAATCGATTTACACTCTGTTTATATACTTAAAACTGACCTAATCATTGTGATATTTCCCAAAATCAACTTATATTTTCATTTGCATGTTACTAATTGAAATCATATATATGGCAAAAGCTATACACAAGTAAATCTATATTTTGCATATAATCGTCTAATTGAATCTTAGAAATATATTCCTATATCGAGATGCATATACAACTATAATTTTATGAAATTGGGGAACTCTATTGAAAAATATATTCCAAAACAAAACTGAAATAAAAATTGAAAGATAAACATACCTGAATTTAACTCGTTTAAAAATTTTGGTACCATCAGGCTGTAACATGAGAATCACATAAACTCCATGAGCAAATTTTTCAATAACTTGTACTTCTCCCTGGTTTCCTGGTGGTGAAGATCTTGAACAATCTTCGGAGTTTTCTAAATTCATTTGTGCACCAATACATTCATGGAAGACATGATCTTGTTCCTGAGATTCATCAACTCCGGCAACCTCAGCATTATCTAGTCTATGATCATCTAACAATTCAGAAATGTCACTAGATGAGGAAAGTGTACGATCCTTTTGGTTTTCAATTTCTTGCTTTGATCCATCACTTTCTTTGATAGAGTTTCCTCTATTTTCACAATGGATAACTTCTATGACATGAACGATTTCATCTAGTTTGTGTTCATGCATTTCGGAAGTGATGGAATCTGAACTAGGTATATTTTGTTGTGTTGACTCCAATTTTGATTTATCTGTTTCTTCATGCAAATTTTGTTTATCATGATCCACATTTTGTTGCTCATGTTTTAAGTTTGATTTTTTGCTTTGTTCAAGTTCATCTTGACAAGGTTTGGCTTCTGTTGCAGCCACTTTATCTTCAGCGTGGAATTTGGAAGAGTCGTTATTCGAGGTAGGTATTTCAGGTGCAACTTTTGGTTTAGTCTTCGAGTTTGGTGATGAAGATGTTTCAGATTCTGAAGTTTCTTTAAGAAAATCTTTTACTCGAATAAGTACATCTTTCAAATGCCGACTTTCTGAAATTTCTCCAGGCAATTTGTCAGTCACTTCCTTCATCTACATAAAACCAAAGACAAGAAATTTAGATAACGTCAATGAATAATATACTACTACTAATAATAACATATAAATATTCTTTTATAATTTATTTTTCATTATACATATTTTCCTTCTTAGGGGGCAGGTTGATGTCATAAACAGGGATTCGAATAGAAATTTTGGGACCAAAAGCTTTCATGAAAATTTAATATAATATGAATTATCAATTCTTATTTTATGTCATATCCTCTTTTGCATACTAAAATAATACCAAGTGCATGTGTTCTCTTTGATTTCTGATGAGATTTACCAATTTCTTAATTATTCAATTGAAATTCTCATTCCCTCTGTGAATTGAAATTCTCAGAAAATTGTTTTTCTCTGATAATTGTTCCAAACGGATGATTAGAAAGGAGTAATGATTTCTGCCAAATCATCTTTGTTCATACAGCATTGTACAATTAGTATAGGTTTAAAAAAAAATTGACTAGAGGTATGATACCTTTCTCTAGGACTAGCAAGTTTATAGGTTTCTTAAGTGGCAAAATTCAGTCAACAATGATCTTTATGGAGTGCTTAACAACTTGATTTTCCTTAATTTTGATCATAATCCCTTTCCAATGCAAGAGCAAGTATTAAATTTAAAGGAAAAACAGTCAATAAAGGACATGGAAAGCAACAACTTAGAATCATCATGAGAATTTATCATTTAGATCAAGCCGCAGGCAAGGATTCTCCGAGGTGACACATTTATTGTAGGAGTGAAAATTAGTTAAAACAAATAGATATCTGGGACTCAATTTTGCTTCTGCTCAAAAACAAAGGTATTTTCGATTGAAAAAATAAAATATTAAATATGTTTTTGTTCATAAATTATCATATAATTTTGATTTTCGTTTTTCTTTCAAACTTTGCTTTATTTTTATCTTTTTTCTTTTATAAAGTCACATATTTATTTCTTTATGATTAACGCTGTTAATTTTTCTTCTGATATGATAAACGGGTGTCACGTTAATTACAATTTGTTTAAGAGACGTATATTCTGTCTTAGGTTAGCAAGATAGCTTAGTGACAAATGTTGTGCCACTTCCATATATGGTTGGCAAGATAGCTCAGTAACAAAAGATGTGTCATGTCTCCAGCTCAGTAAGGTTGGCAAGATATGTATAGTGTTTCCTCATGTCAACAAGATATTCAAATAGGAAGATAAGACATTAGGATAGTTCGATAAAGTGCATAGAAAACTGAAATCGCTCGGTTGAAAGTCTAAAGAACTTAGTAAGATGTTATCTAGACTGCCCACCAAGGTATCTGAATTCTCAATAGACCTTACTAAGGTATTTGGATTCCTCACTGAGCTATCTAAGTTCTTAATGCACCTTACCGGGCTATCTAAACTTTCGGAACTATCTAAGTTTCTATTCACCATAATAGGGTACTTGGACTTCCCACCTAGCTATCCAAATGTCTTGTCAACCTAAAGACAAAATAAACATGTTTCCCCGACATTACCAAGCTAGGAACATAGCACACCTCTTTGTCATCGAGCTATCTTATTGATTTACTTAGAGACACAATACACGTGTCTTAAAAGGTGACATACTATTTGTCACGTTAAAAAAAAGCTAATAGTATTAATCAATAGAGGATTAAATTTGTGACTTTCTAAAATGAGAAAGAAACCTAAAATAGCACAAAGTTTGAAAAATAAATGAAAACCTAAGTTTGATAATTTAAGAAAAAAAACATATTTAAAAAAAAATACCTTTCAACATGAAGCAAAGGATTTGCTTGAGCGAAATTTCAAAATATATGATTAGTTGGCCGCCAATTAAATGGAGTTTTGTCTTGTCTTTTAGCAGATGACGAAGAGAGATTATGAGAGAAGAGCACCAGAGAGGACAAGAAGGCTTTGGATGAACCGGAAAGAAAATTCAAAACTCACTCTTTTACTTTTAAACTGATTCTTGTGCAAAAGAGATAATCATTATTACCATGGCCAAGGTGGTTGATCTTGTTGTATAGGAATTGAATGTAATATTTTCAAACTCTTTGTATTATATATATATATATATATATATATATATATATATATATATATATATATATATAGATATATAACCTAGAATCCTAATTGTAGTCAAAGTGTTAATACAAGCTAACAATTATATTCAAACTAATTGCCTTTAGTTTAGTAGAAAAATTGTAAAGATATATATATTTTAAGCTTGTCTCACTTTTATATTATTTATTCTTTTTATATATGTTAATACATTGACCTACAATCCTAAAATATAGAAAGTAGATACCTGAGATATAGTAGATTCAACAAATTCTTTCGTTACTCTGTGATTAGAATATTCCACTGCAGCAAGGGCAGAAGCTTCCGTAGCCTTTTTGTTAAGCCTTTTGATTTCCAAATCTTGCATGTCACTTTTGTCCTTTAAACTTTGAATCTGATCACAGAATATCCTAAACTTGTTAGAAAGGACAAAGTACATTTTGCAGCAACAAGACATACAACAAAATCGAAGTTACCTGTTTCTGTAACTTTGCAACTTCTTGATTCAATATATCATTTGTCCTTCTTAAACTCTCGTTAATACTTCCATAAAACCTAGGGCTAGCAGGGCGAGCAGCGCTTTGTCTCACTGTGTTTGTAAATTTGGGCCCCGGACTGGTATTTGGTGTCGGAGTTTGCGTCGGAGTTTGCGGCGGAGTTTGTGTCGGAGTTTGTGGCGGACTAAGAGGTATTATAGGCTTTAAAATAGTTTGAATAGAACTAAGTGAAGTTGGAAATGCAACATCTTTCAATTGTGTAAGAGATGGAACAAGGGAAGCTCGTACAAAGGAAGTAGAATCACCATTATCTTCAGGGTTATTATTCTTTATTTCAAGGTATTTCACTGGTTCAGTTATAGGAGCCAAGAGAATTCTTGAGGGTCTTATTGCTGCTTGGTTTGATTTTTCCTTTTCATTTATGAAGTTATTAGTAGCAGTGGTAGTAGTGGTAGTAGGCTTTTTGTCTAACTTGGAAGAACCATTTTCATCAAAAACTTTGAGCTTAACATAACAATTATCACACACACGATGAAGTTTTTCTGGTGTTGCAGTCATTGCTGCTTTGAATGCTCTTTTAGTACTACACGCATGACAAAATACCAAACCACAGTGGTGACAATTGTGCCTTTTTCTTGTTAAACCAAACGCTTGTCGACAACCAGAGCAAAGTGTTTGATCAGCTCCAGAGACCCATTTATGGATGCATACACATGATGTGAAGTTAGAGCCACATGAGATGTTTTCTATAGTCCTATCTTTCATGGCTATAACCAATGTAGGAGATTTCCTATCTTCAACATCTCCATGCCCTAATCTTCCATTGGCACCCTTTCCCCATGTATATAGTTCACCTTTCTTTGTCAAGGCAACAACATGATGTGCTCCACATGATATTTCCTCAACAATCTCACACAGCAACTTATCTTGGACTAAAGTAGGTATTTTTCCAGCTGACACAGGATTTCCCAATTGCCCATGTTCAGTTCCTCCCATTGCAAATACATGACCAGAAGTAGTTAAAGCAACAGTCATTGTGTGCCCACATGCAACTTGGTGAAAGTTATATCCCGTAAGTGGAGCAACACGAGTAGGTTGAAGGTATGTTTCTGTGTTTCCATGACCCAGACAATGTTTATCTCCATTACCCCATGTGAAAAGCTTCCCAGATGAAGCATTTGAACCAGATTGAAATTCAACCTCCATAATAGCTGCTGTGTGCCAAACTCCACATGCAACCTTTATAGTCTTTAGACCACTCAAAAGTTTCACTTCTTTTGGATAACACACACTCTCTTGATCTCCATGTCCCAAGACACCAAATGCACCGTCACCAAAGGTAAAAAGTTTTCCATCTGAGGTTGCCAATGCTGAATGCCATGAGCCACAAGCAACACACACAACTTCAACTCCTTCTAAAGGGCCATTGACCATTTTTGGCATCCAATGGCTAGCCTCAGAACCATGTCCAAGAAGTCCAACATTATGTTCTCCATCACCCCATGTATAAAGTTCATAGCATTTAGATATAACTCCTGTGTGATACTCTCCGCATGCAACAAAGTCAAACTCAGTACCTTCAAGAAACTTAACTTCACGTGGGGAGACAAAATCTTTGTCAATTCCATGACCAAGCCTTCCCCCTGAGTCTTTTCCCCATGTAAAAACATTCCCTTGCTTAGTTACTACAGCAATGTGGTGTGCACCAGTTGCAATGTGGCAAACATCTAGAATAACATTTGACTCTAATGGCTTAGGAATCAACACATCTATCTGAGAAGGAATTTGAGTTCCAATCCCATCAGGTGAAACCCCATTTGAGAAAAACTTACCCCATATGTACACATCACGAAATGAGTCTAGGTCATCTAGTTCAGTTCCACCACAAGAATTACTAGGTACAGTTGAGGTACTTACCCTAATGCCATCTCCAACACTACTTGTTCTTGGTTGCATGTTTGCACATTTCTAACCCCACTTTTGAGCTTACAAATTCAATGCAGACTTGGTAGAAATTGAATCAACAAAGTCCTTATCAAGATGATCAATGTCCAAATTTAACTCCAGTATTGTAGCTAATGGACAAGCATTTTCAATCTATATAACCTTGGAAACTGGTATATCTCTGGCTCATATAGTCCCTGGTTTCACAAAAATAACACTATAAAAAGTCATTCCATAAGACTAGTTCAAGCAAATGAAGAACTATAATAAAATGAATGACATTCAACTTTTAAATGAATGTGATACGTTGAAATGCATGGAGTGGTGCCTTCTTTTTGCATTGAGAAAATGTCTCTGAAAGATTGTTAATATGACCATAATAAGTCTCTTCAAGAATATAATGACAAAGAACTACTACATTAAAATTATATGTTCCTTAATTTACCATGGACATATACCTTTCTCCTTTGACTCTGCATGTCTAATGTTCAACGTAAATTTAGTTTTCTAGTAAACTATCATTTTGATTGTTTAATACAAAAATTTCTACTTTTTTTCCTCGCTTATTGATTAACCAAGGGTGTCTCTATATAAAGGATTGAGTGCATTCAATAAATAGTTGAAATTGAAATTAGATTATAATTAGTTTTCAACAAAAGTGTAAATCATCTTTAATGAAAGAGGTAAACAATTACTTCCACACAATCTTCTAAACCTATTTTACAATGGCAATGCATATTTTTTGTTTGATTTTCTATTGCTAAAGAATGGAACAATTTGAGCTACCTATATAAATATCAAGTGAAGTAAAATGGCTAAAGCTTTGTAAAATTAACCTATATAAAAACCAAGGCACTTCTGCATTTTTTCCTTACAACGTGAAACCCAAAAAAATGATTTTTATCTACCCTTAGAGCAATGCCCCACTTAATCAAAGCAAAAGCATGTATAATAATTTCAATTGAAATTTTGTGCGATTCAATTGACTTCATGAAAAGAATCTAGCATGTAAGAAACTTAGCATAATAGACATAAGTTTCATAATTTAAAGATAGTTTCAGTGGAACTAACATGTTCAATATCATGCTCGGGATTCCGATATTAGCCACATTCCCATTTGAAAAACGGAATGGAAACTGAAAGACAAAAACACAAGAGACAATAATAGAATCACATGGATTTTCATTGCCCAAACTTCATAGATCCTAAATCAATTCGCTTCCACTCTCAAAAAAATTAGCTCCAATGTCTTGATGAAAGTGGTGAAGGACGACTATGAATCTTCGAAGCTCGAAGAACTATATAACGGGTGTGGGTATAATTAGAATCTTTCATGCACAAATAAAATCATGGATTTTGTTGTTAAAAACAGAAAAAGGGTTATGGAATTGTAGCATTGAGTGAAAAGGGGTTGTGAATTGTTTTAGCGAAAAAGGTCATCGGAAAAGAATTACAGATCATGAAGGAAAAGATGATGCGAAAGGAAAGGAAAGGCATGGTCAAATTTTACATTGCTATATGCAAATAATAAAGTAGTGATTAAAGATTGGGCACAACTCTTACATACCGACTATGATATTAACTTCATTTTTAAATTAGACATGTATACACACGTGCATGCACTCCCAAAATAATTATAGTCATTGTCTTTGTAAAAATATGATCATTTTATACTTATATCTCATAATTTATAAAAAAAATTAAATTGAACGTTCACTATAATCACTAATCATTATGTAGTCACCGGAAATAAATCCTTTCATGAGAGAGTAATTAAAGAAACAAAAAGTAAGTACTTGAATTTATTGAGATGATAAGGATTAAATAACTCAAGAAAACATTATAAGAAAATCGTGTTTCGTGGAGAATAGAAAAAAATTATTAATAATTCAAGTTTATTGACTAAACGACAAAAATCTTGTTAGTTTAAAGGTCATCGATAAATTTTATCAATGATCACAAAAATCTGTTGATTAAACTTGCGATTTGCATTTTCGGTCCTATACTCATGAGGTCAAAATATATATGTTTTAGTTATTTTAAAAGTGAGGCCTATAGAGTTATAAATAATTTAAAAAATGTTATCATATTATTGAAAGGTTATACCCTAAGTGTCAAANGAGACCCATTTATGGATGCATACACATGATGTGAAGTTAGAGCCACATGAGATGTTTTCTATAGTCCTATCTTTCATGGCTATAACCAATGTAGGAGATTTCCTATCTTCAACATCTCCATGCCCTAATCTTCCATTGGCACCCTTTCCCCATGTATATAGTTCACCTTTCTTTGTCAAGGCAACAACATGATGTGCTCCACATGATATTTCCTCAACAATCTCACACAGCAACTTATCTTGGACTAAAGTAGGTATTTTTCCAGCTGACACAGGATTTCCCAATTGCCCATGTTCAGTTCCTCCCATTGCAAATACATGACCAGAAGTAGTTAAAGCAACAGTCATTGTGTGCCCACATGCAACTTGGTGAAAGTTATATCCCGTAAGTGGAGCAACACGAGTAGGTTGAAGGTATGTTTCTGTGTTTCCATGACCCAGACAATGTTTATCTCCATTACCCCATGTGAAAAGCTTCCCAGATGAAGCATTTGAACCAGATTGAAATTCAACCTCCATAATAGCTGCTGTGTGCCAAACTCCACATGCAACCTTTATAGTCTTTAGACCACTCAAAAGTTTCACTTCTTTTGGATAACACACACTCTCTTGATCTCCATGACCCAAGACACCAAATGCACCGTCACCAAAGGTAAAAAGTTTTCCATCTGAGGTTGCCAATGCCGAATGCCATGAGCCACAAGCAACACACACAACTTCAACTCCTTCTAAAGGGCCATTGACCATTTTTGGCATCCAATGGCTAGCCTCAGAACCATGTCCAAGAAGTCCAACATTATGTTCTCCATCACCCCATGTATAAAGTTCATAGCATTTAGATATAACTCCTGTGTGATACTCTCCGCATGCAACAAAGTCAAACTCAGTACCTTCAAGAAACTTAACTTCACGTGGGGAGACAAAATCGTTGTCAATTCCATGACCAAGCCTTCCCCCTGAGTCTTTTCCCCATGTAAAAACATTCCCTTGCTTAGTTACTACAGCAATGTGGTGTGCACCAGTTGCAATGTGGCAAACATCTAGAATAACATTTGACTCTAATGGCTTAGGAATCAACACATCTATCTGAGAAGGAATTTGAGTTCCAATCCCATCAGGTGAAACCCCATTTGAGAAAAACTTACCCCATATGTACACATCACGAAATGAGTCTAGGTCATCTAGTTCAGTTCCACCACAAGAATTACTAGGTACAGTTGAGGTACTTACCCTAATGCCATCTCCAACACTACTTGTTCTTGGTTGCATGTTTGCACATTTCTAACCCCACTTTTGAGCTTACAAATTCAATGCAGACTTGGTAGAAATTGAATCAACAAAGTCCTTATCAAGATGATCAATGTCCAAATTTAACTCCAGTATTGTAGCTAATGGACAAGCATTCTCAATCTATATAACCTTGGAAACTGGTATATCTCTGGCTCATATAGTCCCTGGTTTCACAAAAATAACACTATAAAAAGTCATTCCATAAGACTAGTTCAAGCAAATGAAGAACTATAATAAAATGAATGACATTCAACTTTTAAATGAATGTGATACGTTGAAATGCATGGAGTGGTGCCTTCTTTTTGCATTGAGAAAATGTCTCTGAAAGATTGTTAATATGACCATAATAAGTCTCTTCAAGAATATAATGACAAAGAACTACTACATTAAAATTATATGTTCCTTAATTTACCATGGACATATACCTTTCTCCTTTGACTCTGCATGTCTAATGTTCAACGTAAATTTAGTTTTCTAGTAAACTATCATTTTGATTGTTTAATACAAAAATTTCTACTTTTTTTCCTCGCTTATTGATTAACCAAGGGTGTCTCTATATAAAGGATTGAGTGCATTCAATAAATAGTTGAAATTGAAATTAGATTATAATTAGTTTTCAACAAAAGTGTAAATCATCTTTAATGAAAGAGGTAAACAATTACTTCCACACAATCTTCTAAACCTATTTTACAATGGCAATGCATATTTTTTGTTTGATTTTCTATTGCTAAAGAATGGAACAATTTGAGCTACCTATATAAATATCAAGTGAAGTAAAATGGCTAAAGCTTTGTAAAATTAACCTATATAAAAACCAAGGCACTTCTGCATTTTTTCCTTACAACGTGAAACCCAAAAAAATGATTTTTATCTACCCTTAGAGCAATGCCCCACTTAATCAAAGCAAAAGCATGTATAATAATTTCAATTGAAATTTTGTGCGATTCAATTGACTTCATGAAAAGAATCTAGCATGTAAGAAACTTAGCATAATAGACATAAGTTTCATAATTTAAAGATAGTTTCAGTGGAACTAACATGTTCAACATCATGCTCGGGATTCCGATATTAGCCACATTCCCATTTGAAAAACGGAATGGAAACTGAAAGACAAAAACACAAGAGACAATAATAGAATCACATGGATTTTCATTGCCCAAACTTCATAGATCCTAAATCAATTCGCTTCCACTCTCAAAAAAATTAGCTCCAATGTCTTGATGAAAGTGGTGAAGGACGACTATGAATCTTCGAAGCTCGAAGAACTATATAACGGGTGTGGGTATAATTAGAATCTTTCATGCACAAAAAAAATCATGGATTTTGTTGTTAAAAACAGAAAAAGGGTTATGGAATTGTAGCATTGAGTGAAAAGGGGTTGTGAATTGTTTTAGCGAAAAAGGTCATCGGAAAAGAATTACAGATCATGAAGGAAAAGATGATGCGAAAGGAAAGGAAAGGCATGGTCAAATTTTACATTGCTATATGCAAATAATAAAGTAGTGATTAAAGATTGGGCACAACTCTTACATACCGACTATGATATTAACTTCATTTTTAAATTAGACATGTATACACGTGCATGCACTCCCAAAATAATTATAGTCATTGTCTTTGTAAAAATATGATCATTTTATACTTATATCTCATAATTTATAAAAAAAATTAAATTGAACGTTCACTATAATCACTAATCATTATGTAGTCACCGGAAATAAATCCTTTCATGAGAGAGTAATTAAAGAAACAAAAAGTAAGTACTTGAATTTATTGAGATGATAAGGATTAAATAACTCAAGAAAACATTATAAGAAAATCGTGTTTCGTGGAGAATAGAAAAAAATTATTAATAATTCAAGTTTATTGACTAAACGACAAAAATCTTGTTAGTTTAAAGGTCATCGATAAATTTTATCAATGATCACAAAAATCTGTTGATTAAACTTGCGATTTGCATTTTCGGTCCTATACTCATGAGGTCAAAATATATATGTTTTAGTTATTTTAAAAGTGAGGCCTATAGAGTTATAAATAATTTAAAAAATGTTATCATATTATTGAAAGGTTATACCCTAAGTGTCAAAATATAGGTTTCGATTCTAGGTAAATCGAAGTTATACTTAACTACATATTATAACTTTGAGAATTTTTACAACTTACGAAAGGTCTTGTTATGTAGTATTACTTTATTTTTCTTATCTTTTGTTGAACTTTTGTGCTTTTGTCCATTATAACCTCGTTAAGATTTGTTTTCGTCTTCATTATGGTTTATTTTCTTTCTTATTTCTCATTTATCTATTCCTTTCGTCTTATTTTTCTCTTACTTCTCCTAATGTTGTTTTTCTTCTTGTTTAGGTGTCGTCATTGTATTTTGATGACCATTTCGTGTTTTGGACGTCACAACATTATTGTTGTCTTGGTTGTTGGTTTGTGTTTAAATGATTAATCTTGATCTCTTTGTTCTTGCTCTCACTCTGGTTGTTGTTGTTGATATCCCTCGCTCGCATTTAATCAAAATCCTACTTATATTTTTTTTAATAGTTTTTATCTTTCAATTGATACTAACTCACGAAATCACGCCACCCAAAAATCCCAAGTCGCGCTTCCATGACCACAACCACAAAGCTCCGCACCTCCATCATCTCACCAGCAACCTCAACCTGCAAAGACAACTAGAGAAGCAAAGACACCTAATCGCGTCTCTCCGACAGAGATCCAATCCTGGATTCCCTAGACGAAAACCCACCCTCGAGCAACCTCCGCCGCCATGCCGAAACCGAGGTTCCCATAAGACCAACGCATCTGTACACGAGCCTTGAGGAATCCATAGCCACATGGTCAGCCTCAACGCCGTCATTTCAACTCGCCACGCGCCCTAGTTGCTGCTACTATTCTTCCCCTTCCTCGTCAGAAATTGAACCCGCCACAACCCCAGAAGAAGAAGAAATCACGAGGAAGCTCAAAAGCCCACTACAGAACATAATCGAGGAAGCACTTCTCTCTCTAAGAAAACTCACCCGAGTGAGAGAAGAACGTTCAGGTGAATGCTTTGGCTTCATTGGTGAACCTTTCTCTAGAGAAGAGTAACAAAGTGAAGATCGTGCGGTCGGGGATGGTACCACTGCTGATTGAGATTTTGAAATTCAGATCCCCTGAGGCGTAGGAACATTGGCGCATTGTTCAGTTTTTCCTTCCAGAATATTTTAAGGAATTCAATTTACCCTCTCTCAATCACACGGTACCCATAAAATAATCTCTTTCTTATTTCCCAGCTACTTCCTCCCTACAACTTTTGAACATAACCAGCAAAAAAAGAGGAGAAAGAAGAAGAACGCTCAACACGTTGCCCCAAGCCACCAGAAATGTGCAAGATAGAAGATCAAAACGAAGGAGAAGAAGAAAACGACCAAGGGTTGCCATGTAATAGAATATTTTGACATCAGCGTATTAATTATACAACACGTCAGCACCAACTAACATCGTTTGTGATAACTTAACGGTTATGGCAAAATTGGCTCAATTTTACAAATATTTAGACCCAATTAAGATATTTTGCAAATATATGGACCCAATTGAGACAATTGGAAATATGAGGATCCACTTAATATTCCTAAATAAATACAAGGATCATCCGAGGGATTAAACCTAAAAGGTATTACTAATTTATATATTAAACATTTGATTTTATTATTAAATATCAATAAAATATATTAAAATATTAAATAGTCACCGGAAACAAGTAAAAAAATTTAAATAAATCCTTCCATGAGAGAGTAAAACTCAAGAAAAAACTATAAAAAAAACCGTGTTTCGTGGACAATAAAAAAATTAATAATTCAAGTTTATTGAGAATTATCGACTACAAAAAATTTGTTAGTATAAAGGTTATTCATAAATTTTAACAATGAATTGAAAAATATGTCAATTAAATATGTGATTTGCGGTTCTATACTCACGAGGTCAAGGTATTGGTTTGAGTTATCTTAAAACTGAAACTTATAACTATACAAATAGTTTAAAAAATGTCATCATATTTTTTAAAGGTTGTACCATGTTAAAGTATAGGTTTTAATTCTAAGTTAAGTCCAAGCTATACCCAACTACGTATGATAAATTTGTGAAGTCTTATAACTTGTGAAAGGTCTTGTTGCATACTATTACTTTATTCTTCTCTTCCTTTGTTAGAAATTTTTTGTTTTCGTCCATTACAATTTTTGTTGAGATTTATTTTTGTCTTTATTATGGGTTATTTTCTTTCTCATTTTTCATTTATCTATTCCTTTTATTCTTATTTTTCTCTTCTTTCTCAATAACTTTGTTTTTTATTCTTGTTTAGGTGTCGTCATTTTAGTAGTTATTTTGCGTTTGGGATCCCAACCACAACATTATTATTGTCTTATTGTCTTAATTGTTGGTTTCTGTTTGAACAATTAATCTTGGTCTCTTTGTTCTTATTCTCACTCTCATTGTTATTATTGATATCACTCATCTTTAATCAAAATCCTACTTTTATTTTTTTATTTTTTAATCATTTATTGTCTTAGTCACTGAAATTTATACTTCTAATTTTTTTTTTACAATGTATTTCGGTTGTAAAACTAGAATATAATAGTAAAAGAAATTGATGTCAAAT